TACATAATACGAAAATCTTTATAAAACTGTTAAAATTAGGAACTGTCTAAAGTCCCGAACGCGGGATCGCTAGAAAAACGCAAAATCCCGAAAAGGCGTGGCTAAATAATGGCGTTCGGGACTTTCCAAAAATAATTCTAGTCCCGATTTCGGGACCATGGTAACAAAAGTAAACTCCCGAATTCGTAATTAATAATTCTTTATGTATTCTTTGTTTACCCTATACACCTAGGTTAGATTAGCTAACTGTTGTGTTTTGGGCAGTTTTGGCTGGAAATTTGTACTTAGGTATCCTTTATTATGGGGTTAAATACAAATGACACATTTGGTTCATGTAAAGAATTACAAGATGCTATTGGCTTATATGAGAAAGAAAATAGGGTGCAATTTTGGGAACGGGATGCAAAAACTATCACATCCGCGAAGCATCATGCCCCTAATTTATACAAGACGGTTAAAGATAAACCTGATAGGTATAAGATGAAAATATGAAATAATCCCTAATCATGAACATGTTGTTGTTGATACCCGAGTTGATACCCCTATGAGATTCAGGACTATGATGAACAAGAACAGTAGTTTGAAAATTCTGAAATAATCACTAATCATGATTATGAACAAGTTGTTGTTGATATACCCCTATATCGAGACTTATGAGATCCACATGGACTATTATGAACAAGATCAGCAATTTCCAAAAAATATAATTTTACCAGTACCTACTTAGTTAAGTGGTAATTTATCGTGATTGGTATATAGAAAGTCAAGGCAGACCTAGAGGCAAGAATTTAGCGGCGATAGATCTGCCAACTAAAAAGAAAAAATGTACAAAATGAGATGTCAAAGTTTCTTTTCCATATTGTTTACTTAGTAGAAATACACGATATTTGTTTTTTGCTACTTCCTTGTTTTTCTATGATTTGTCTGATAAAATTATAAATCAGGATTAGTCGGGAGTTTACTTCTGTTACAAAAGTCCCGAGGTCGGGATTCGAATAATTTTTGGAAAGTCCCGAACGCCGTTATTAGTCACGCCTCTTCGGGATTTTGCTTTTTTCTAGCGATCCCGCGTTCGGGACTCTAGACAGTTCCTTAAAATTATATAAAGATTCATCCGACAATAAAATTATGGAACTGTCTAGAGTCCCGAACGCGGGATCGCTAGAAAAACGCAAAATCCCGAAGAGGCGTGGCTTAATAACGCCGTTCGGGACTTTCCAAAAATATTTCTAATCCCGACTTCGGGAACATGGCAAGAAAAGTAAAATCCCGAATGCGTAATAATTGTTTATGTATTATTTGTTTATCCTATACACCTAGGTTAGATTAGCCAACTGCTCTGTGTTTTGGACAGTTTTGGCTGAAAATTTGTATCCTTTATTGTGGGGTTAAATACAAATGACAAATTTCATTCATATAAAGAATAACAAGATGCTATTGATTTATATGAGAAAGAAAATAGGGTGCAATTTTGGAAACGGGATGCAAAAACTATCACATCCGCGAAGCATCATGCCCCAAGACAGTTAAAGATAAACCTAAACCTGATATAAGATGGAATTATGAAATAATCCCTAATCATGAACAAGTCGTTGTTGATACCACTATCGAGACTTATGAGATTCCGGACTATTCTTACGGGATGATTTTTCCCGCACTAAAATAAAAGGAAATAAGCTTATTCACCTCTCTGAATAGCATACCTTCCTCAAGCCACTGTTTTCTATCCAATAGTTGTAGCCACACTTTCCATCGAACTTTTCATTCTTCCCAAAATTATTGAGTTGGAGGTTTATTAATGGAATTGATTTCCTATTAGTAGGGTTAAAATAAATAGTCAACTAATTTATTAACAAACAAAATTACAATATTTACACTAGAACAGCTGATGTCTGATCGGAGTAGATTGTCTAGATTGACAGCGCTCCAAATAGGGTCCATGACCGGTACTAACTTAATTTGAATAAGTACCATGCCCCAACTACCATCAAAATCCCCAGTACCTTCCACCTTGGAGTTTTGACAGACACTTTTTAAAGGACATTGCAGGGACATTCAGAGGTCATTCAGGTCGAGGACTTTTCACGATTAAGTGTTCGGGAAAATTCCTCAGGCACATTTTGCCGATTTTCTGAGTTGTCTAGTTTTCGCTCATAGATCTAGGGTGGCTAATCGTTATTTTAGCACCCAATCGCCTTGTGCGGATTTTATTTGTGAGTCGATAAAAAGCAACGTGACCAATTGTTTGTTCCTAAAGGTCAAAGTATTTTGGTGAGTCGTTTTTCTTATTAATCTTCTCTGTTTCTCTATTTCCTATGTAAAAGCATAGTTTACTGTTAATTATACGGTCAAATTCCGAATATCGGACATACCTACCTATTGCTCCACGCCCTGTCTCATAACGTCCATTTGTTTCAGGCCTTTAATCTTCACCTTTAGAAGTTACGCTTTAATCTTTACCCTTTTGTTCGTCACGCTTCAGTCCCTAGCTTTCAGTAAAGAGTTATACGTTATACATTGAGCTTACTGTGTACTTCGAGTAGGGCCTACAATCTTCAGCCTCCTTTAGACAATTGGAAGCCTTAGTGCCCAGGGCCAGTTGCTTCTTGTTGCGGCCTTGATCCAGTCCCAGGCCATTGGAAACACTGGAAGATATTGATCTCACCGGTCAGGTTCTCCCCAAGAGATTAGGGACTACTCAGGTTTGATAAGTGTGTTGTATTGTCCTAGTATCAAACCTTGCCAACCCCTTGTTGGAGTAAAACACCACAACAACGCAGATTTACTACCTTAAAAATTATCGTTCAGATTATGTGTTGCTATTTCAATTTTTAATTAATTATAAGTATATCACCTTTTTTTTTTATGAAACTTGCCTTCCAGGTTATGTATGGTTAGGTACTTCAATTTTATTAGGTATCTAGGTATCTATACTACCTAGATTGTTACATAATATTAAAGCCCTTCAGGTTACGTATTGTTACTTCCACTTTGATTATTGCTGCACTGAATACAGGTAAATACTTGTACACTGGGGTTAAATGGCCATTTACGAAGGTACTGCATTTAGTGAGCTTGTATATTGAACATTTATATTTCAGGTATTATTGCTGTTGTACGGTACTCTTTACTTTAAGATGCTTTAAGGGACTCGAGTTAATTTTTTTTGTATTTACTATTTTTAGAGTATATAGGTTAGGTACTCCTAGTCTAGGCGGTTTTTTTTCTTCTCCGAACCTGCTCTGGAGTCAAACCCATTCTGTTCGAGTTTTAATTAAAGACCCTGATTGTAGCACAAGCGTTTCACTTTTGTCCCTTCTTCTTGTTCATATTTCAGGTTGTGCTGCTATAGTTCCGTAGAAGTTTCCTGCATTCGTTATATCGGTTGATTTCGTGTACTGCAGGGAAAAAGTAGGTGGCGCTCTATATTTAGTTAATTAATTAACCCACACCACTCTCCGTATTGGAAGCTAGTCGGCAACCCTATACACGAAATCACGTTTCTAGATTTCAGCCACCAACCAACCCCTTTCTTTCTATTCTTTCTCTTTTTAGTTACCCATTAACTTTCCTCCCTTCCTCAAATCTTATCATTAACTTCTCCGTTACGTTCTGCCACGTAATAAATTGGCACGTAACACTATGATGAACAAGCGAGAGCAGCAGTCCGAAAATTTTGAAATAATCCCTAATCATAAACAAGTTGTCGTTGATACCCCTATCGAAAATATGAGATCCACATGGACTTTGATGAACAAGATCACCAGCCCTGTTGATACCTACCCCTGTTGAAACTTATGAGGCATCAAGCAGGCAGAAAGGATAAACAAGATCAACAGTTAGGAAGAGAAGGAGAAATAAAATACGACACAAAATACACAGCTATCTGCAAGGGCAAAACCCTTTGAAAAATTTTTTTTTACCAGTAAGTGTTAATTTATTGTTATTAGTATATATTTGCAATTTAATGAAAACAAACTGCAGAACCCTATTAAAAGTCGAGGCAGAACTAGAGGCAAGAATTTAACATTTAACGGCGATAGGCTTGCCACTTAAAAAGAAGAAAAGATCTACAAAATGAGATGTCAAAGTTTCTTTTTCATTTTGTTTACCTACTAGAAATACACGATATTTGTTTTTTGCTACTTTCATGTTTTTCTATTAATTGTCTGATAAAATTATAAGTCGGGAGTTTACTTCTGTTACAATAGTCCCGAGGTCGGGATTCGAATAATTGTTGGAAAGTCCCGAACGCCGTTAACCACGCCTCTTCGGGATTTTGCTTTTTTCTAGCGATCCCGCGTTCGGGACTCTAGACAGTTCCTAAAATTATTCACTCGTCAAGTCGTCATTTTTATTGCTCCTGTTTGACGGATGTATTAAAGAAGTCCAAAAATTATAATAAAATATCAAATTGTCCTGAAAAATAATTAAAAATGCAGAAAACTAGCGTCGTTTGGGGGGGGGGGGGGCAAGGGGGGGCATTTGCCCCCCCCCTAGAAATAGTCTCTTGAACAAAAAAGCAGTAAAAGAGAGATTCGTATTGCTTTTTTCTATTTTTTCAAAATTTGTTAGGTACAGTCAACTGGGGCTTCTTTGATAATTGTGGGGCAATTTTGATAACCCATGTCGCAACTATTATTTTCTTGTATTACTACGCAAGCGCAAATTTCTTGGCGCGTCTCAACAGGTCATATGTTTTTCAAGTGTCAGTTCTTTGTGAGAGTGTGGTTATGGTGGTGCGATTTGCCGCGGTCTCCGTACTACAAGGTAGGAAAGTTTACTTTTAACGTTTGTTTATTTTAAAAAGCTTCTGAAATTTCATATACACAGCTTCACTATTTTATCATGGATCAATTTTTATTATTTTACATGGAAACCTATCAACCTGAGAACAGAAATATCATTTTTAGATTTTTCTCAAAATAATATTAGACCCTTCATTTATTAAAATCCTTCGTGGGGCAACTTTGATCGCCTTTTATGGGGCAACTTTGATCATGATCAAAGTTGCCCCATATGGTAATAGTAATGGAGCTACCTACATACTTGAATATTATTTTTATCTTGCAGAAATATGGTCCGAAAATACCAGAGAACTTTGGGTGTCAGAAAATATAGACTATAAAGAGGATGTTGTCGAAGAAGCTTTAGGAAAAGTTATAGAAAATAATTTTAGTATACGGAAAGCGTCAGTACAATATGGGATTCCATTTGGGACTTTGTACAACAGGTACAAAGGGCTCCACATTCGTTCAATAGGACTCACTCCACAAGAAGAACTTCAACTCGTCAGAAGCGCCGCTACCTGTGGCGACTGGGGATATCCCTTGTCCAAAGAAGACATGCAGTTCTTAGCCAAAAACTATCTTGACAAGCAGGGCAAGATAATACCTTATCTAACGGAAAATAAGCCTGGTATAGATTGGGTGGATGGCCTCTTAATTAGAAACAAATCTGACATTTGTAAAAGGGTCGCTGCAAACATTAAAAGAGCTAGAGCTACAGTCAGCGAAGCGTCGTTGAAAGAATATTTCAATAATTTGAAAGCAACAATAGAAAATGTCCCTCCATCGCATTTATTCAATTATGATGAAACAAATATGGCGGACGATCCTGGAAAAAAATTTAAAATTTATAGACGAGGTGTAAAGTACCCCGAACAAATCTGTAACTTTACCAAATCTGCTACGACAATTATGATATGTGGATCGGCTTCAGATGTACTACTTCCGCCATACATAATATACAGATCCACAAAGATGTGGAATACTTGGACGGAAAATGGTCCAAAAGGTAGTCCTTGTTGCGAAGATAGGTGTTGCAGTGGTGGTTCGCGATATAATAGAACGAATCATGGCTGGATGGAGGCATCAAGTTTTACAGATTGGTTTATGACCTGTTTCTTACCACATGCAAAAAAACTAGATGGAAAAAAAGTTATCATTGGGGACAATTTGGCCGCACATTTCACGGACGATGTTCTTAAGTGTTGCGAAAAAAATAATATCGCTTTTGTGTGTTTGGTTCCCCATTCCACTCACCTTACACAGGCTCTTGATGTCCGTTTTTTCAGGCCGATGAAAATAGCTTGGCGAAAAATATTAGGAGCTTGGAAAACAAAAAACCCAAAGATAGGTGGCTTGCCTAAAGAAGAATTTCCCAGCCTTCTTCAACAAGCTTTATCTGCAATGGATAACGTGGGTGAAGGCCATGCAATAAAAAGAATCCTAATTAGTGGATTTGCCGCGACTGGAGTTTTCCCGTATGATCCTCAGAGGGTCTTATCAAAAATTCCGGGATATGTTCAAGAAAATGAAGGTGACATAGGCAATACACTAATTGATTTCTTGAAAGAGCAGAGGTTTGGTGAGGGTCCAAGTACCTCAACAAGGCAAAAAAAGAAAATGGTAAAAGTCATTCCTGGCAAAAGCGTAACGCACGTTACAGCAGACTCAGAAATGTTCGAAGAAGGAACCATGCAAAATGAAACAGAGGATGAAGCTATTCACGATGAAGATGACGAACAAGGAAGAGAACAATTCAACGAAGAAGAAAAGGAAAACAAAAACTGCAACACTAAATCGACCGAAAATTGGTCTTGGTTAAAATGAGAACTATCAATACAAATGTCGATAAATACTTTGTAGGCAAAATAACAGAAATAATATTAGGTGACGATATTTTTAATGTCAGTTTTCTGAGATTTAAAAAAGGTAAAAAGAACAATTTTTTTGTTTTTCCTGACATTTTGGATGAAAGTTTCGTTCAGAGATCTGAAATTATAGGATCCCGAGAACCCTCAAAACATCATAGGGGGCAATATGTTTTCAAGGCGTTTGAAAGTTTTGTAGAGGTCTAAAGTGCTACTTTCTCATCACGTCCGTTTTCCTAGAAATAACAATTTTTCTGTTTTCGTGTCTGGAGCACAGACAGCAAATATTATTTGGTTTAAGTTTGTTTAGTAATTTGTTTTTCGTTTTGTTTTACTTTTGTTCAACCTTTAGATAGAAAATACATATTTTTTACTGTTAGTTTTATGTTTTCGTAATAAAAAACAAACTTGATTAAAGCAAAAGCGTATTTATTTCTTAATTTCTGGTGTTTTTTTTTATTATTTTTTTTTTTATTTAGATTTTATTTGAATGGGGTTTCTTTGATCGTACGGGCAAACTAACGCATGATCAAAGTTGACCCAAATGAAAATATGTTATTTTATTAGTGAATTATCGAAATAAATTTAATTTTTTTTATTTAGATTTTATTTGAATGGGGTTTCATTGATTTTACGGGCAAAACTGAAGCGTGATCAAAGTTGCCCCAAATGAAGTAAAATTTTGATCAGGCCTATTCTATTTTTTTTTTCCTATTTTCGTGTGAGTTTAGGAAATTTTTAATAAGTGTTTCGATTAGTCATATAACTGCCCAACATTTCCTTTTTTTTTTGTTTCCAAATATCTCAATTGGTTACCTATAGCTACAAGCAAAAATTCAAATTTTTTTGATCAAAGAAGCCCCAGTTGACGGTAATTTGAAAAATTGGCTGACATTTTCATTACATTCAACGGAATTGAATTTCACTTGACTTAGGGCCAGTATTATAAAACACTGAATCGATGGTAGAGTTCCAACCTTCGGTTGAATCCTATCAATTTGCATGGAGTCAACCCAAGGTTGAAACTCAATCATCGATTCAGTGTTTTATAATACCGGCCATTAGAAAATTAACTAAACAAATGCAGTGGCGACCGCCAGAGTTCTATGTTAGGGGTGGGGGGGGGGGGGGGCAGACTGGGCCAGAAAAATTTAGGGGGGCATTTGTTTTTATTTTACTGCTTTTGTTCTTCGGAATAAAAAATCGGAAGTACCTGTCGACACTATTATGTTTGAGGTAATACCAGGAAACCGAAAGCAGCATCGCAGTTGCCTGTGCCCAAGAACACTCAACCTAATAGGACTGCTTCTTGAGCTGAAAATGTCTGCCATTTCAGCCGAACACTTCAACACTTGGCGTAAAATGCATTAGCCGAGTTTAAAACAATCACAGGTCACAGCAATCGTTATAATCTTGTTAAAATCACCTTTTCTACATTTAAAATTGACGAAAAAATAAGCACAAACTGAATCGCAAGCATCCCCTCGAGGCCTGCAGGTGACGTCATCATTATAAACTGTTATGCTGCTAATTAGTAATGACGTCACTCGCAGGCCCTGCCGACTCGAGAATTGACGAATGTACGCCTTATGAGGATGAGAATTCCTGTTAGTTTACGATTCCTGGCCTGTGCTCACCGAATACCAAATTAACCAACAGAGGCTGCTGATGTTACATTGCATTGTTGCCGACATGAGAGCAAGTTTTCAGGGGGGGCCGGCTAAATTTCAGTGGCGGCCCTGGCTCCCTCTGGCCCCCCTGGCGTCGCCACTGAACAAATGATGCGGACAGTGAATTTGTTGCGGAAAAAAATACCATCATTTTTAACTAAATATCGATATCAACTAAGTACCTTAAAATGCTCAAAAAGGGGCGTGGCACCAAAAAAATTAGCCTACGACGGTTGCCTGCGGCGCTAATAGAAATGGTCTTATTATAATACTGCCTCCCCCTGAGAAACCTCGTAACGACGCCCATGGGATCGGTTCATTTCAATATGCTAAACAACATATTAAGTTTGCGACCTTGTACTTCCATAGGGTTTTCAGTTAGGGGTGGTTTTTAGAGGTAATTTGCGGTTTATGGAGAACGCTGCTCAAAGGGATGGTTCAATAGCAAAAAGTTTCAAATGAATGTTGTAGCTGAAGTTTTTTGCTATAAAAAACTCAGCGACAGCACCCCTCTATCTTCTATAGTTTTTTTTTCTGCAGCGTCTTGAATAGTAGCATGTTTTTGTTCAAGGTTACTGAATCAACGTTTTGCCATTTTGCGCGCATTTGTTGCAGCAGCGGTCGAATGCATAATCCGATTTCAATTTTTCAAACACCACATTATTGCTAATGAAATGCACTCTCCAATACTTTTTTGTTCGAATTTTTTGCTTGAAAATTAAACGAGCACGGACTTGTCTAATGTGCGAGGAAGTTGTAAATTTCATCGAAAACTACCCCTTTCTTGCATTCACTGTAATTTCTAAACGGGGCCAAATATTTGGTGACAGTTTTCGACAATCGGCAGCCCATTTATTCTTCTCATAATGCCCCAGCGGATTTTTTTTTCGTTAATTACCTAATGACTTATTGACCTGAAAACGTCGCGCGGGATTTTTCAAAAAAAATTAAAATTGTCGCATAGCGCTGAAATTTGGTACGATGGCCTTATTTATTGTTCTTACGAATATACTGCAATTTTAATTGCTTCACATGATATAAAATTGCAGTATATTCATGAGAACAATAAATAAAGCCATCGTACCAAATTTCAGCGCCATGCGACAATTTTAATTTTTTTTTACTTTTTGAAAAATCCCGGCGACGTTTTCAGGCCAATAAGTCATTAAGTAATTAACGAAAAAAAAATCCACTGGGGCATTATGAGAGGAATAAATGGGCTGCCAATTGACGAAAACTGTCACCAAATATTTGGCCCCGTTTAGAAATTACAGTGAATGCAAGAAAGGGGTAGTTTTCGATGCAATTTACAACTTCCTCGCGCATTAGACAAGTCCGTGCTCGCTTAATGTATGGGAGTGTGACGCCCGGAGGCATCTAAACATTCCGGTATAGGATTCAGCACCTAGGCTTATTTCATTGGTCCGTTTGAATTCGGACCGCCAATTAATGCGGAGTGCCGAAATCCGTACTCGAATGTTGAACGGTGCTGAGCCTCAGGTCGGAATGGTATATACATATACTATGTGGAGTGCCGAATCAAAGGTCAAAATGTTAAACAGTGCCCAGCTGCAGGTTGGAATGTTACTCCGTTAGCGCGGCACAAAATCAACAAACAAACTTTATTTACTTTTTGTTACACATCTATTTTATTTCAACGATACATTTCAAAAAATCTTGGACAATAATTTGCAGTGGCGGATCCAGGGGGGGGGGATTATAAAAACCTGAATCCTGGCAAATTAGAATAGAAAATTTTGAAAATAAATACCCTAATTTATCTATCTTTTTTTTTTGTATCTGTGGTGATTAGTTTAAATTAAGATATCAATTGAAGCCAGGCAACAGCAGTTTTTGGATTTTCCTTTCTTATTATTTCTTTGATCCAGTTTTTTATAAGCACTATGATGGCATACAAAAACATATCTAAAAAATGTATTTTCCAAAGTCTATTCGCATCCAAGAAGATTCTACGTCATTGAATTATTGACATTGAACACAAACCTGCATTTGAATCTCTCATAATTATTTTTCGCTGACTTCACATTCCAATTCGTGTCTGTTATATCACTATTTATTATACTCTTCTATCCATTACTTTATATCGTTTTCCTCCAAAATGTTGGCTCGGTAAATTTGCTCACCACTCTGAAAGTGTTTAAATGATCTAGGCAAACTCATCTTGCATGTTTAAGCACAAGAACACATGAAGCAACGGCGAAATAAACCGCATCCGCCGCAAAATTGTAGCTAAGAGGAACACGAAGGAGATGGACAGCTGATTTAATATAAAAACCGCGCCAAACGCATGGCAACATTCGGACCTGATACTCAGCACTGTTTAACATTTTGACCTTAGATTCGGCACTCCACATGGCTGTTGCTAATGGACCATTCTGACCTGAGGCTCAGCACCGTTCAACATTCAAGTACCGATTTCGGCACTCCGCATTAATTGGCGGTCCGAATTCAAACGGACCAATGAAATATGCCTAGGTGCCGAATCCTATACCGGAATGTTTAGATGCCGCCCGGAGCTACTCGGGGCGTTGAGCCCCCGAGCTGTACGTACGCGTCAACCTATCAGCTGTCACATCCGCGGGTGGCTATTTATCTATTTATTTCTTGTTATATCTCAAGATTGAACATTTTAAAATATATAGTTTTGATTCTCTTTCATTTTTGATAAATAAAAAAACAAGCTGCACAAACAAACAGATAATTATTTTTAAAATTTGACATATTTGACACTAAGACAGGCGTCTCACGCCATGATACTGGAACGGTACAAATCTAGTGCGTGGCGCCCCCGAGGTGCTCTAGAGCGCGCCAAAGTGCATACTGGAAAGCGGCTAGTGTGGTACTGACGTACGGAAGAGAGTCAAATTGTACTGATTTCAGTACATCTGTACTGATGCTGGCAACACTGCAGTCATAACACAACTAATGTCTGCCCAGCGAGTCTGTGTCTACGGGGCAACGGTAAGGGGAATGCAGTTGTAAAAAAAAATGGCTGATTTCATTCATAAAATACCCAGCTGCGTGCGGAACTTTTTCGAAGTGTTATCGTATTGCAACTCGTACACGAAAATCAGCAATGACCAAATCTCCGCCACTGGATATGTCAATATAAATCGATATTCCAAGATGGGAGGATAAAATGACGTGAGCCCTGGCCAATAGCGAGAGGTAAGGTGACGTTAGCTCTTTGACAACCGTATGGTTCCCCATGACAACGGCGATCCTGCCAAAAACTCCACCAATCAGGTTCATCCAGGACGGATGCTTG